TGCTGCTGCTGCTGCTGCTGCTGCCACTCCACGTGCATGCACTGTCACCTTGTGCACCATGACTCTCTCTCCTCGCATGCTTCGTTCACCCATCGTGCCACCGCACCTGCATCATTGCTCACTCGCTGCCTGCCCCTCGTCCCCAACCTGCCCATCATTCCTCTGCGCATCGGCCAGGACCCTGATTTTTAAGAACCTCACCGGCTCCATCCCCCTCGCCATCACTGCGCTCTCCCGCCTGCAATCGCTGTGAGTCGCACACACGCTGTGAGTCGTGCATACGAGTCGCCAGGGCCCGGCCCGGGGCTTGTGAGTCGCCTCGCCCTGCCCTCTCGCTCGCTCTCTCCCCATGTCACGCATCACGTCATCATCCCTCCTTCCCTCTCTTGCCCTCCTTCAGTCCAACAGTCTGTCCGGCCCTGTGCCCCCCGCCCTCTCCTCCCTCCGCCTGCATGTTTTGAGACGTCTCAAAACAGTCTGTCCGGCCCTGTGCCCCCCGCCCTCTCCTCCCTCCGCCTGCGCTTCCTGTGAGCCGCACCGAGAGGCACCCCCTGTGAGGCGCATTGCCCCATGCATGTGCACATGGCGGGCATGTGCACAAGGCGGGCATGTGCACATGGCGGGCATGTGTGCATCGCAGGTTATGTGGGCGTCGCAGGTTATGTGCGCCTAGAGGGCCAAGATGCCTGTTTGAGACGCCAGGGCTGTGGCGACTGTGGGTGGCAGTAGTGACTCTGCCTTGTGCCGTGCAACCCTCTGTGTGTGTGTATGTTTGTGTTCGTATGTATGTATGTCTGTCAATGTGCACGTTTATTCTTGTGTTTCTGTCGTCTGGCGATGTGCATCTGCGCATCTGTGAAAGTGAGTAAGAGTGTGTGTGTGTGCGCGTGCGTGCGTGCGTGCGTGCGTGCGTGTTTACATATACATGCATGCATGCATGCAGGAAGCTGGCCGACAACCGCCTCACGGGTCCGATCTTCACTGTCCTTGCACGCATGCCATCGCTCGTTGAACTGTAACCACCCACCACAATCTTTATCTCCCTTCCCTTTCACTCATCGCACTGCTTGTCCCTTTTCTCTCACTCATCGCACTGCTTGTCCCTTTTCTCTCACTCATCGCACTGCTTGTCCCTTTCCTCTCACCCATCGCACTGCTTGTCCCTTTCCTCTTCACCATCACTGCAAGCATGCCATCGCTCGTTGAACTGTAACCACCCACCACAATCTCGAACTCCCTACCCTTTCACCCATTGCACTGCGTGTCATGGGCCGGCTTCCAGCCGTGGGGCTCATCATACATTTTTACTGCCTGCAACATACTGTCCTCCTCCTCCTCCTCCTCCTCCTCCTCCTCCTCCTCCTCCTCCTCCTCCTCCTCCTCCTCCTCCTCCTCCTCCTCCTCCTCCTCCTCCTCCTCCTCCTCCTCCTCCTCCTCCTCTGTGCCATCCTTTTCTTCCCTTCTCCCTTCTGCTCCTCTTCCCGTCTCGTCCATACCAATCTTTCACCCCTTTCCTCCCTCCACCTCCCTGTCTTCACCTTCCTCTCACCATCTACCTCTCTTCCACATTCGCATCTGCTCAACAATCTCTCCCCCTTTCCCCCGCCCTCCCCACTCCCCCCACCCCTCCAGCGAGCTCTATAGCAATAACTTCACGGGACCTGTGCCGCTCACCCTCTCGCGCCTGCAGAATCTCAAGTCTCTGTCAGTCCTTCGCCCTCGTCCCTGTCATTCTGCCCCTCCCACCGCCCCTGTCGTTCTGCCCCTCCCACCGCCCCTGTCGTCCTGCCCCTCCCACCGCCCCTGTCGTTCTGCCCCTCCCACCGCCCCTTTCGTCCTGCCCCTCCCTCCGCCCCTTTCGTTCGGCCTCTCCCCCCGCCCCTTTTGTTGTGCCCCTCCGACCGCCCCTGTCGTTCTGCCCCTCCCTCCGCCCCTGTCGTTCTGCCCCTCCCACCGCCCCTGTCGTTCTGCCCCTCCCACCGCCCCTGTCGTGCTGCCCCTCCCCGCAGTGATTTAAACTCCAACGACTTTCACGGGCCGCTGCCGCAAGCACGCTGCCGCAAGCCTTCACCCACCTCACTGCCCTCACCCACCTGTGCGTCGCTCCTCTCCCCACCCTCTCTCCCCACCCTCTCTCTCCACCCTCTCTCTCCACCCTCTCTCTCCACCCACTCCTCTCCACCCTCTCCTCTCTCCGCCCTCTCCTCTCTCTATCATTTCCTCCTATTGCAGACCTCATTCCCCAACATGCCATGCCATGCCATTCCATGCCCTGCCGTACCGCGGGCCATGCCATACTGTGCCATGCCATGCCATGGCATGGCAAACCATCCCAGCCCATCCCAACCATCCCATCCCATTCCACCCACCCCACGTTACACCATCGCCTCCCTCCCCGCCCCTCTTTCCCCACCAACCCACAGGCGCATCGCAGGGACGGGACTCTCTGGCCCGCTGCTCGATGACATTACCGCCCTCTCCTCCCTTCAATTGCTGTAATGCACGCCTCCTTTTACTGCACTACGTGTAACCCACGACTCTCTTCCCTGCACTACGTGTATCGCTCGCCTCTCTTCCACTGCACGACATGTAGAGCTTTGATGCAGTTGACTGTAAGTTGACTGCAAGTTGACTGCTTTCTTTCGTATCCTTCATTGTTGTCCCTCCTCTTGTGGCTTGCTTGCCATGCCATCACAAAACTTGCCTCCTCGCTCTCCCTCTCATTGCGTGGGTATGCCGCGCTGCTTGCACATGCATACTGTTCCTTGTATGTCGTATGTGCGTGCTTGCACATGCATACTGTTCCTTGTATGTCGTATGTGCGTGCTTGCACATGCATACTGTTCCTTGTATGTCGTATGTGCGTGCTTGCACATGCATACTGTTCCTTGTATGTCGTATGTGCGTGCTTGCACATGCATACTGTTCCTTGTATGTCGTATGTGCGTGCTTGCACATGCATACTGTTCCTTGTATGTCGTATGTGCGTGCTTGCACATGGTACTGCTCCTTGTATGTCCTATGTGCGTGCTTGCACATGCTACTGCTCCTTGTATGTCGTATGTGCGTGCTTGCACATGCATGCTGCTCCTTGTATGTCCTATGTGCGTGCTTGCACATGCTACTGCTCCTTGTATGTCGCATGTGCGTGCTTGCACATGCTACTGCTCCTTGTATGTCGTATGTGCGTGCTTGCACATGGTACTGCTCCTTGTATGTCGCATGTGCGTGCTGCACAGGCGCCATCAGCTATTCGTCAGGCAATGCTTGTGTCGCCTGTGAGAATTCTCGAAAGTGACTTTCACATGTCCCTTGTATGTGCGTGCTTGTATGCTTGTGACTTTCACCATCAGCGACGCATCAGGCAACAACATCTCAGGAAGCATCCCCGCCACCATTTCTGCCCTTTCCAGCCTCGAGTACCTGTCAGTTGCACACACAACCCCTCCTCTTCCTTCTTTTGTTTATGGTGTTTTTATATTCTTCTTCTAGATAAGAAGAAATAATCGTACATGTCTCTGTGCATTGGAATCGCCTCTGATGCATCCCGCCCCTCTCTCTCTCTCTTGCTTGTCTGCGTCCCTCTGCTGCTCTGCTGCCCTAAACCCTTCTCTTGGTCTTGCGACTATGGTGCGGATGGAGAGGGCTGAATGCGGTTTCAAGAGGGCTGAATGCGATGTTAAGAGGTCTGAATGCGATTCCAGGAGGTCTGAAGGCAAATCCAAGATCACGGGTAAAAAAGGTCAAGACGACAAAGAAACTCTTCCACCCCCCCTCCCCACCCCTGGCCTTCCCGTCCCACCCCACACATGCACGGCAGGACGCTGGGTCAGAACAGCCACCTCTCAGGCTCTCTGCCCCGCGCCCTCTCTCACCTCACCACCCTCAAAGAGCTGTCAGCCCCCCCCCCCCCCCCCCCACTCGCCCCCCCTCATCATCCACACCTGTCCTCTCCTCTCCCCTGCTCCTCCCCTTTGCCCCGTGCTTCGATTCGACTCTTCACTTCGCCCCTCTGCACCACCTCTCACCACTCTGCCTGCCTTGCACCGCCTCCTGTAGCACCTGTTGTCTTCCCTCTCATGCACCCCACCATCTCCCCCACACCCGCGCCTGCCTCTCTCTCGTCCTTCTCTGCTGCTGCCCCCCCCGTTCTCCTCTTCTCCTCTCCTCTCCTTCTCCTTCTCTTCCTCCCTCCACTCCTTCTCCTCCTTTCCCTCCCTCCTCTTTTCTCCTCCTCTTCCTCCCTCCTCTTTTCTCCTCCCTTCCCTTCCTCCCTCCTCTTTTTCTCCTCTTCCTCCCTCCTCTTTTTCTCCTACTCTTCCTCCCTCCTCTTTTTCTCCTCCTCTTCCTCCCTCCTCTTTTTCTCCTCCTCTTCCTCCTTCCTCTTTTTCTCCTCCTATTCCTCCCTCCTCTTTTTTCCTCCTCTTCCTCCCTCCTTTTTTTTCTCCTCCTCTTCCTCCCCCTCTTTTTCTCCTCCTCTTCCTCCCTCCTCTTTTTCTCCTCCTCTTCCTCCCTCCTCTTTTTCTCCTCCTCTTCCTCCTTCCTCTTTTTCTCCTCCTATTCCTCCCTCCTCTTTTTCTCCTCTTCCTCCCTCCTCTTTTTCTCCTCCTCTTCCTCCCTCCTCTTTTTCTCCTCCTCTTCCTCCCTCCTCTTTTTCTCCTCCTCTTCCTCCCTCCTCTTTTTCCTGATCAACACTCTCTGCCTCTCCCCCTCTCCTCGCTCTCGCTCTGCTCACCAGCTCATGTCCCATCCCATGCCACTGCCTGTGCTGCTTCAATGCCTTCTGCCTCCCTGCTTTGCTTGCCATCCCTCCTCCTCTCCTTGCCTCATCTCCCTTCCCCTGCGTTGCTGCCTGCTCTGCTTTGCTTGCCTCATCTCCCTTCCCCGCTCCTCGTTTCATCTTCTCCCCTCCTCAACCCATCGTCTCCACCGCTCCCATATCCTCCTCCTCCCCCTCCCCACCCCCCCTTGCAGCACGCTGGGAGGCACAGCCATTTCAGGCGAGCTGCCTCGCTTCCTCACTGCCCTCACCCGGCTCGACTCCTTGTGCGCCCCTCCCCACCCTCTGCGCCCCCCCTGCGCCCCTCCCCACCCTCTGCGCCCCTCCCCACCCCTCTGCGCCCCTTCCCACCCTCTGCGCCCCTCCCCACCCTCTGCGCCCCCCTCTGCGCCCCTCCCCACCCTCTGCGCCCCTCCCCACCCCTCTGCGCCCCTCCCCACCCTCTGCGCCCCTCCCCACCCCTCTGCGCCCCTCCCACCCTCCGCGCTCCTCTCTCTGTCCCTCCTGCACCTCTCTCCGCCCTCTGCACCCATTGCATCTCCAGTCCGTGCCATCTCAACCACGTACCATTGCTTCCAACCCATTCACCCGACGGGTGTTGCCTCAACCCACACCTTGCCTCCTGTTCTGCCATTGCCTTTCCTCCCATCCCCCCACCCGCCCCCCTCCCTTCCTCCCCCCCCTCTCTGTCTCTGTTTTTGAGACGTCTCAATAGTCCCTCCTCCCTTCCACCCCCCCTCTCTCTGTCTCCGCTTCCCAACCCTCATCCCATTCAGTAACGTGCTCGACACGAAGATCAACGGAACCATGCCCGCCACTTATGGATCCTTGAAGCTTAGCTCCTTGTGTGATTGCCCCCCCTTACTTTTATTCCCATGCAAGCCTCTATTTCTCCTTAACCCCCTCGCAACTGTCTCTTTCCATTATCGATTTGTTTGTAAAGATTTAGACATAAAGATACCTTTACTCATATCCCTCTCTTGAAGGACGCTTCAAATGAGTTGGTTTAGAGAAGCGCACTGCTGAGTATCACTTATGGTTATGCATTTGCATAAAGTGTTCCACACCTCTTGTCTTTTTCCCCATCTGGCCCTGCGTATCTTCCACCTGCCCTTGCTCTCTCTCAGTGGTTTTGCAGGGCTAACTTGCCCAATGGACTACACCAGCTGTGAAATCAATCAGAACCGTTCATCCAAGTTTTGCACCTTCTGCTCATCGTTCTGCTCCACGTGTATTCCTATCAACGGTCAGGATTGCTCTGATCATGCACCTAGCACTACACTGCTACGATCACGTCACCATGCACGTGTCTCTGTCATGTCCCTGTCATGCCCCTGTCATGCCCCGTCATGCCCCTGTCATGCCCCTGTCATGCTCCTCCGATTTAGTTGAATCATCAATGCTACGATTGTATTTCTCACGTTTTCGCTCCGCAAATTTCCTCTCCACCATTCCTCTCCACCATTCCTCTCCACCATTCCTCTCCACCATTCCTCTCCACCATTCCTCGCCAATTCCTCCCACCCTACCCTTCCATTCTCAAATTCCATCACATCCCATCCGCCCACCCATCCCCTGTTTCCCCCGTCCCAACCCCACCCGTCCCCTGCCAGTGCCAATCTCCAGCCCGCCTCCCCCTTCCCCTCCGCCCCCTCCGCCATCCCCCCCCCCCCCCCCCGCCTCCTCCCCCCATCGTCACCGTCCTCCTCGCCCCTCCTCCCCCTCCGCCCTCCTCCCTCCCACCATCTGCGATTGCGGGGATAGTAGTGGGTGCAGTGGTGGCTGCTGCTGCTGCTGCTGCTGGCGGTGGGATGGGGGGTATGGAGGTGGAGGAAGGGGAAGGAGCAGACGGAGCAGGACCCGAGTGAGTGGGGAGGGGGGAGGAAGGGGATATTTTGAGTGCATGTGGCATGAAGGCAGGATATCATGAGTGCATGATGTCTTGATGGTGTGATTGCTTGATGGCTTGATGGTTGAGTTCAGTAATAAAATGTGTTGGCATGTGGTGTGCGTGGTTCGGAATGTTGTGTGAGTGTGTGTGAGGTGTGTTTTTCTCTCTTCCTCATTCCCCTACGCCTACCCTCTTCTCCTTTCCTCAACACCCTCTAATCACCAAACGCCCCTTTGTCCCTTCCCTTAACAAGTTTTCAAGGAAACACAGAAACAAAACATAAGTAAGCAAACCAATAAACAAAACTCCCTTCTGCCCCTTTCTCGGGGCGTATCTCAGTTCGGGTCATGGGCACTGTTTGGGTCATCCGAGATTCCTGGACGACCTATAAGGCGCATTTAAGCTACACTACTGGAATATCATTGGTCTTCCCATGACCCGAAGTGGCCTTTGATGACCCGAAGTGGCCTTTGATGACCCGAAGTGGCCTTTGATGACCCAAAATGGCCTTTGATGACCCAAAATGGCCTTTGATGACCCAAAATGGCCTTTGATGACCCAAAATGGCCTTTGATGACCCAAAATGGCCTTTGATGACCCAAAATGGCCTTTGATGACCCAAAATGGCCTTTGATGACCCAAAATGGCCTTTGATGACCAAAAATGGCCTTTGATGACCCAAAATGGCCTTTGATGACCCAAAATGGCCTTTGATGACCCAAAATGGCCTTTGATGACCCAAAATGGCCTTTGATGACCCAAAATGGCCTTATGACCCGAACTGAGATACGCCCTCACTCATCCTCCCTCAATTTCCCCCCCTAATTTCCTCTTTCCCGCCCTTTTCCCCTTCCCCCTTCCAGCCAAACCTCTGCTAAAGCGCACACCCGCCTGCCCACACATCCCCCTGGCTGATATCCTGAGAGCCACCAATGGGTGGGCGGAGGGGCGGAGGGTGGGGGGAGGCAGGTGGAGCGACGTGTACCGGGGGGAATGGGTGGAGGAGGTGGAGGGGGGGGATGGGGAGAAGCATGGGGGGAGGATGGGGGAAAGGATGGGAAGCAGCAAGGGGGAGAGGTGCAGGGGGGGTCCCAGGGGAAGCGGGAGGGAAGCGGCAAGGGGAGAGGTTCACAGGGGAAGAGGGACGGGAGCAGCAAGGGGGAGGTTGCAGCGGGAAAGCAGGTATCAGGGTCAGGGACAGGAAAGAAGAAGCTTTCATGGAGGCGGGGGGACAAGTGGGCAGTGAAGCGCATGAGGGGGGGGGTGTATGGGGCAGAGAGCGCGGAGCTAGAGGCTCATGTGGCGGGCCTGGCTTGCCTCGTGCACCCCAACGTGCTGGGGCTTGTGGCCTGGTGCTGCTGCCCTGTAGCGGGCGAGGGGGGGGTGGAGGGGGAGGAGGCGGTGGGGCAGGAGGGGGGGAATGAGCTGGTGTTGGTGTATAAGTGGATGGAGCGTGGCAGCCTGCAGGCAGCACTGCAGCCAGGTGCGCACAGAGAGAGGAGAGCACTGCAGCCAGGTGCGCTCCATAAGGCCTGTGATGCCAATTAGCAACAAGTCGAACGAACTCACCACTCGCCCTCACCACTCGCCCTCACCACTCGCCCTCACCACTCGCCCTCACCGCTCGCCCTCACCATTCGCCCTCACCATTCGCCCTCACCATTCGCCCTCACCATTCGCCCTCACCATTCGCCCTCACTACAAGTTGAACTCGCCACTTGCCCTGCACCCAGCCCGTCCTCTCCGCTTGTATCAGAGCACCTCATGCCTGCCCCATCGTATCGTACCTACCTCGTGCCGTGTCCATCCATCCCCACACCCCACCTCCAGGCGCCACGCCCTTGTCACTCCAGCAGCGGGTGGACATAGCAGTGGGGGTGCTACTGGCGCTCAAGGCAGTGCAGAGCCACGGGCAGGTGCATGGCGACCTCAAGCCCTCCAACGTGCTGCTCGGCCCTTCCTTTGAGGTGCGTGTCCTTTTGGTGTCAATCCCTAAAAGTTGCTGCCACGTACTGAAACCATGGCACCTACATGGTGTTCTATTAGGTGCATGGCGACCTCAAGCCCTCCAACGTGCTGCTCAGCCCTTCCTTTGAGGTGCGTGTCCTTTTGGTGTCAATCCCTAAAAGTTGCTGCCACGTACTGAAACCATGGCACCTACATGGTGTTCTATTAGGTGCATGGCGACCTCAAGCTCTCCAACGTGCTGCTCAGCCCTTCCTTTGAGGTGCGTGTCCTTTTGGTGTCAATCCCTAAAAGTTTCTGCCACGTACTGAAACCATGGCACCTACATGGTGTTCTATTAGGTGCATGGCGACCTCAAGCCCTCCAACGTGCTGCTCAGCCCTTCCTTTGAGGTGCGTGTCCTTTTGGTGTATGTTTTTGAGAATTCTCAAAAACATATGTGTCGTTTTGGACTTCTCAAATGTGACTCATAGGTAAGTACATGCCTTTTGGGAGTTTCCAAAAATGACGCAGATATAGGTGGGTGCATTTTTTAGAATTCTCAAAAGTGGCTTCGGGTATAGGTGCACGCCTTATAAGAATTCTTGGATGTGAGTCAGATATCGCCGCTGGTTGATGAAATGTACAATTGTGACTTAGATATAGGTGCATGCCTTTTCAGAAGCGAATACGCGCTCACCTCATTTCACTCCCCCTCCTCCCCCTCCCTGCCTTTCCTCCACGTATTCCCCGCCGCCCCCCTCCCAGGCGCGAGTGGTGGACTGGAGTGTGGTGTGCATGGGGCAGCGCGTGCATGTGGACATGGGCAACAATGGCTCGGAAGGGCACCGGAAAGTCTTCAGCAACAAAGGCTTGGCAAGGATAGTTTCCTTGCCAAGTGGAGACAGAGGCACCAGCAGCAGCAGTGGCAAGATTGGTGGCAAGAGTGGGTATTCATGGGGGTCCGGTAGGAGTGGCAGCAGCATTGGCAGAACTGACGGAGGCGAGCAGAAGGTGTATTTGCTGCGGTGCACGGAGGGCCATGTGGACCCGGCTGTTGTGCACACCGGCATTGCCACTCCCACCAGTGACATGTACAGGTGGGGCTTTAATGAGTGACATGTACAGGTAAGGAGTTCATCTGTGACATGTACAGATGGGGCTTAAGTGACACATACAAGTAAGGCTTCAATCAGGTTACTTCATTTCAACAGACAAACGACTCTGCCCATCGAGCTTGCTGCATTCAAGGGGCAAAAAAGAACTTTTAAGGAATGGCATGAAATTTGTTGAGACATACAGTGACATGTACAGAATAGGCTTTAATCAATTACTTATATGCTTACACAGGTAGACCTTAAATCTTCCTGCCTGTCCTCTTGGGATTGAACTCGTTTTACTGTAGAGTGGTTGCCTTGCCATCGCTCCACATCACTGTGCTGGCTGCCTGACTCACCTGCACGAACTACCACCTTCCCACTCCCCCCCTCTCCAACCTGTCTCCTCCACCTCTCCACCTCCCTTCTCCCCTCCCTCTCCCCATCTCCACCCTTCTGACCCTCCCCATTCGGTTCCGCCCTGTGTTCGCCAGTGTGGGAGTGCTGCTGTTGCAGCTGCTCACAGGCTGGGAAGGTCCCTTCAGGGATGTGGATGGGCAGCGCACCCACATTTATGACTGGGTGCGTGAGGCTTTGGGAATCAGAGCATGAAGTGGCATGGCATGGCATGGCATGGTATGGCAGGGCCGGGCAGGGCAGAGCAGGGCAAGGCAGGGCAGGTATGGCAAGGCGTGGCATGGGATGGCATAGGCCCACCTCCCCCTCATCCCGCTTCCCCCTTCCCTTTCCCCACCTCCCCCTCCTCCCGCTCCCCCCTTCTCCCTGCCCACCCCCCATCCTCGTCCCCTACCCTTGCCCCCTCCCGCTCCCCCCCCTCCCCCACCCACAGGCCCGGCAGCACGCAGACTCGGACGACATCTCTCCTCTCCTCGACCCCTGCTGCCACACCCCCTGCCCCCTGCCGCCACCCTCCTCCCCCTCGTCCGCCTCGCCCTCGCCTGCTCCTCCCCCTCACAGTCCGCCCGCCCCACCCCCGTGTCTGCCCTCGATGTTGTGAGGAACTTCCGCACCTCCCTGCTGGAGGCGTTGCGGCCTGGAAGGGGGGTTGGGGGTGAAAATGGGGAAAAGGGAAAGGGGGACGGGGGAGAAAAGGGGGAAAAGGAGAGGGGGAGGGGGGAGAAAAAGGGGGAAAGGAGAGGGGAAGGGGAGGATGGAGAGATGATGGGGGGAAGAATGAAGGGGAGGGGAGGGGAAGAGTGGGGGAATGGAGTGGGGTGTCCATTGGGGACAGTGCTGAGGGAGCGGCGGAACAGAGTGTTGACGATACAAGGCTGCCATTAGTGGGTGCAGCGGAGGATAGTAGCGAGTCTTTGGTGTAGACAGGGAGGTGCTATCTGTAAGTGTCTTGTCGTGTAGACTGGAGCAGGTGATATCTGTCAGTGTTACCTTGGGATGACACTACGGTATTCAGAACACGTTCCGTGTACAGGTACGCGGTACAATACAGCTTATACGGTAATCCGCTTCTACAACTGTCCATATATTTATGTCATTCCTCTCTGTTACTCCTTTTCACATCCACAAAGTGCACTGAGCGCATGGGTCTTGTCTCCTGCCCTGGCCAGGCTGGTTGTTGCTTGCCTACCCTACCCCCTTGCTACTCCCATTCACCTGCCCAGACTAACCAGCAGACCAGATACACTGCACATTGATCATTTCATTCACAGAGGGCACTGTGAATGCAACGGCAAGTTCACCAGCTATATTGCAATTAGCAACGACAATTCAAACAAAAAACTACCAGCAGACAACGTGCTGATGCCGGTGTCATCAACCATGGCAGTGTGCATCCTACGCAGTCTGTTGTTGATCTCCTGGTGGTCCCGAGATCAATAGCCAGGGAAGTGTCCCTCTATCACATCCCCCCCATTTGCAGTTGACTCCAGCCTCAACATCAGATTCCAGACGGATGGAGGTGACTTGCTTCACTTCACCTACTCCTATCACATGCGCGTACCCTTGCTACTTATGGTACTGTAAATACGCACAGACTAACAAGCACCAAACTGCGCATGGATCATTTCATTTACACAGCGCATGCACAGCCAGATCACCACCTGTCTCTCCACTAGCAACAACAGTTCACACAACCAGCAGCAGAAGCAGGCTAAGTGATGATGATGGCGTGCAGGCAACTGTTCACCCTACTGGCAGCGGGCAGGGGCTTGGGCTTTAAGCGCTGGTGACGGTGACCTCGACCTCGACGCCCGGCTCGATGCTGATGGACGTGATCTGCTTCACCACCTCCGACGGGCTCACCAGGTCGATCACACGCTTGTGCACGCGCAGCTCAAACGTGTCCCACGTGTTTGTACCTGCACGGGGGTTGGCAGGAGGGGGTGGAAGAGAGAGAGGGGAACAGGGGAGTGTTGGAGGAGGGTATTGAAGGTGTGTTGATGCTCACCAGGTCTATCACGCGCTTGTGCACGCGCAACTCAAACGTGTCCCACGTGTTCGTACCTGGAAGGGGGAGAGGATGAGGGGGAAGGGGAACGAACAGGGGGTGTTGGAGGGTGCTAGAGCGCATTTAGGGTTACCAGATCGATCACGCGCTTGTGCACGCGCAGCGGAAACGTGTATGGCGCTAAACAGTATGTGCGGTCGTTGACACGCTGGAGGCTCAAACCTTCGCTCAGCGCCGCAGCATCCCTGCACTTACCAGCGCAGTGACCCCCCCTCGCTCACCGTTGCCGCAGGGCGGCTTGCGCGTGGTGTGGCGGAGCATGGCATGCGCACGGGGCCGTCTTTTCTTTCGACTCACACTGACTCTAACCAGCGCATCACCCCATCCCCTCTCAGCTTACCGTTGCCGCAGGGCGGCTTGCGCGTGGTGTGGCGGAGCATGGCATGCGCACGGGCCGTCTTTTCGACTCACACTGACTCTAACCAGCGCATCACCCCCCCTTCCCCTCTCAGCTTACCGTTGCCGCAGGGCGACTTGCGCGTGGTGTGGCGGAGCACCTTGGTGGGCATGCGCACGGGGCCCTTCACCTTGAGGCGCTTCTCCTTGGCTCCGCGCACCAGGTCCGCGCACACTGCGCGCAGCAACGTCAGGGGCGAAACGGGAAGGGGGGTAAGGGGAACATACGAGACGCTAAGGAAGGAAAACGAAAATGAAAATGAAAGACGAGAACGGGGAGAGGACGGGAAGAGAAGCGTGGAGCAGGTGAAATAAACGCGCGAAAGAACAGAACTTGGAAACAGTCGCAGCCATGAAACGTCGACACTCATGGCTGTGCCGCACCGCCGCAGCTGCTGGGGCACGAACAGCCTATCGCAGAGGTATAAACTCGAAACCGCGTCAGCAGCAGAAACGGGCTTGCCAACGACGAGATATCGAGTCGATGAAAGACAAAGCACGCAGCACAAAAAAGTCAGAAGTGCGCTTCTGGTCGAACACAGGGAGGGACGACAGCACTCACGCAATTCCCACAACAGCACACCCAGCGGCCGCACGCAGCAGGCAGCAAGCACGAATCCACAAATTTTGGCAAAAACTAACCCTTCTCGAGGCTCTTGACGTTGTTCATGCAGCTGAGCGTGATGCGGATGTTCTGCACCTGCTGCTCCACTGGGGTCTCTTCCAACCCCGCCTTGGCGGACTTCACGGGCGGCGGCACGCCTGCCATAATGTCTTGCTTTGCTGACCTGGACGAAACGACAAAAGAGACACCATTGTTTTGCTGGTCTCCGCGCTAATCTCGACCGGTGATCGGCATCTGCTGAGGCCGTGCTTTAAGCACTCGATCACATAGCTGGAAATCGCACTCTTAGGATTGATTGCTTGAGCGGGACGCGAACGTTCTTACTTGTCTTAGATTGACGAATGAGCGCTCCCCCGAGACAGACGCCGGAGAACCGACCGCTTGCTGAGGGGTTTAGCGATGAGATCAAAAGAACGCAAAAGGGAGAGAGATGAAGGGCGTGTGGGTCTTATGCTGTGGGCTTGTGCGAAGGAGATCCTTGATATACGCGTAATTCGACAACAGATAAAGAACTGTTTTCCGCACATTATTCTGAGTCTAAAAAGTTAGGTGAAGAAGGCTGGTTTACTCTGAATCCTTGATATACGCGTAATCCAATAACGACGAAACTGAGCGCTCCGATTCGTATGATTCACTAGCAGAAATGTGTAATCCATTTTTTTTTTTTTTTTTTTTTTTTTTTTTTTATGCAATTTGTTGTGGACTAAGCTCGGCGCTTACACGAGAATAAGATTATCTTAAACACAAGGCGCTTCTTTGTTCTTTACAAAGAAAAGCATCGCACAAGAGGAGAGGAACGGGAAAGAAAGACACCAGAAACAACTCAAACGCAACACCCATAAAAAGCCCCATAAAAATACTCTATAAAGAAAAAACCCAACCAGGATCCCCTACCAGACGTCGCCCATCCCCCTCGCACCCCCCCCCCCCCATCCCCCCCCCTCCCCCCCCCCCCCCCCCCCCCCCCACCCCCCCCCCCCCCCCCCCCCCCCCCCCCCCCCCCCCCCCCCAAGTCACATCTGCACATCCACCATGTAGGGGGCCTCCACCCAAAGAGGCCCGCCCTCCACCTCGACATCGTCCCTCTCCCGATCCACCAAGTCCACATTCAACCCCCCCATGGAAGACGCCGCCCGAAGCAGGATGACACGAGCTTGCGCCCGTTGTAACGCCACTCCGATGAGCGCCTTCAGAGACCCCAAAAGGTAAGCCGAGAACGAAGTGTCATCCTCCCGACAAGCCCCCCGTGACACAGCTAGCCCCACGTGCGCGTCCCCCTGCTGTCGAAGCCACCGCCGGAAGCGACCGCCGAGACACCCCCACGTCTCCACTATCAAAGGGGTGAACTGCACGCCTCGGTTCCGTGCAAGAAGAGGCGCGTAATCCCCCGTTTTGCGACGCTCCCACTCCTTTGCCGCCACGCCTATAGACCGCCCGCACTGCCCTAGCAGAGATGGAGACAGTGATAGCGGGTCCGCGACACTAATCTCTAAAGCATGAGCCTCCCCAGCCATTGGTCGTCGCACCGCTACGTCAACCCGCTTCCCCGGCAGCACCGCACTATCCTCCATCGTCACCACCCCCCCTGACGCCTTAGCGATCTTTGCCACCGCAAACTTCACCTCATCATGCACCCGAGATGGACCGTGTTGGTGCTTGCATCTCAGCGCATGATGCGGGTCTGCTGGGTCATCATACGCTGCGCCACAAACACACTTCCCCGCCACTTGCAGCTGCTGGATTGGGAGACCAAGCCGTATAGCAGCAGCAATGCCCCACTCCGCTGCAGTGAATGTGAGATCTGAATGAGCCGGAACTGCCGAAACCCATGCACCAGCCCCCGGGCCCTGAAGGGATGTGAAACGGGCTAGGGTGGCATCGTCACGAGCCAAGCGGCGGAGTGCCTGGAGCTCCTCAACAGCCAACTGCCGCTGCCGCGCCTGGAAAAGCCGAAGAGGAGGGGCCGCCACACACAGGGGTAAGTCCGGCAGCTCCTGGCGTATAGTCGCGGGCAACTGCTCAATGGCCTTGGCAAACCACGGGTCAAGAAGCTCCGCCCCCGCCGAAGTGGTGAGGTACTCTGCGAACATCGCCTCCTCGCCCGCC